CGATAATTCTTAATGGTGAACGTCCATTTTAATTTGCCTGCCAGAAAGAGTTTATTTTAGGTTAGTGATGAATAAATTTGAACAGCTCGAGTTTTTTAGTTAAGCAAGTGATCACTTTGTTCATATACCGTCCAAATACAATACATGTATAGTGAAGTATGTGCATTGTACATGCATAAACAAAAGTTTACAAAGAATAACATATAACATCACGCCTTTTACCCCCGAAGGAGTAGGCAGAGATTTAGGAGTAGGCACATTACGACACTTAATGCCACTGTACAATGTAACACTCACTTTTCACTATTTATGTTATGAGTCCCATGTAATAGGGGCTGAGCCTATTGTCATATACCGGGCACAATTCCATACTCCGTGCTACTACTTAGATTTTTTTTTCATAAAACCCAGTAATACTTTGCCGGACCCCGGAATCGAACCCCCTTTGTCTGGCAGTCGCACTTGCGACCACTCGGCCAATGAGGCAGTCAGTACCTACAAAGGATAAGTTAGGAGAAAATTATTGCAAATGAAGAAACTGCATTATTAGCTGTAATTGCGTTTAGTAATTAATGAGCTCGAACCTTATATGACAGGACATAAATACTAACTCAAAATTACAAAACGAAAACATAGTACCAAGAAAATATAGAGAATCGACGCGTTTGAATAAAATATGAAATAAATGATCAACTCATGTTTATACAGAATAGAATGAATACATATCTATAACCAAATAAAAGCATAGATATACAGTATTCTCAAGAAAGAGACAATATGCCGTTGTATATAAATCGGTTAAAAATATAGATATTTACATTTACATAGAAACTGATGTTTTGTTCTGGACTTGTTTCACAAGAGTTCCGATGCAATGATAATATTCAGAATATTTGAAAAAAAAAACAGTTAAATATTGTATGTACACACGGATACATATTGAGTTTTAATAATCCAATATAAACTGAACGTTAAATGTGCGGAAAGATGATGCGACGCGACACCAAGATAAACTGGTTTTGTATAGATTGATGTATCATACATCAATCTATACAAAACCAGTTTGTATACATACATCATGTATGTACAATGTAATAGGCAGTGATTGAAGCTGGAAAAGGACCGAAGGATCGCCAAAGGTAGTTTTACGCAATTTCTATTAAAGATTTTACATTATTCAATCTGGTTATTTTTAATGGGATAAGCCGGTAACCGAGGAGACGGATCAACTGATGGTAAGCAATCGGCGCCGCCCATGGACAATTGAACTACCAGAGGCGTTACAAGTGCGTTACCGGCCTTTTCAGAATTGGGAATTTGAGGATTGTTGGGGAATCGGGGATTGGGGAGATTGGGGAGGGGGCACATAATTGGGCCTCCGGTAACCTCACTTACACGACGAAAGACAACGCAAGCGTTGTTTCACGTCGGTTTTCTGTGAGGCCGTGGTATCACTCCGGTCGAGCCGGCCTATTCGTGCCGAAGCATGCCTCTCCCATACGTAAAAGTTAAGTTAATTATTATGTTTTTCGGCTTACTCACGTAATTATTTGACAAGTTTCAAGCCACATGGCTTAATTTAGTACGTCTCACGAGAGTTATAATATAATCTCGATAATTGTTAAGTAATGAAATACATGTAATTTGAGTAAATTAACACATATTAATTTTCTTTTCATAAAACACAAAACTTTGATGTACCTAGAGGAAACGTTTAAAATATTTCAGACCAATTAGGTCTGAGGCGTCTCAATGCTCTACAGGTTGATATTTTAACCGTTCAAAGAGAATTACATTCAATAACTATTTTTTATAATATGTGATGGGTCGATGTTTGCCCACTATTTTACCTGGTTGTAATAATTATGTACCAATGAGTAAATAACAAAATTACTTATCTACAGATCTTTGAATATTATATGTACCGATTGTTATATTTTGTCAGATTGTTTAACATAATCAGATAATACCATAAAGATTTTTCTACGGGTAAATGTTACTGTTGGTTATGGATTACGTATATATTTTAATACTTCTTCATTATATTTAGTTAGTATATATTGTGTGATATGTATAATTATATACATCTACATGTCAATGTATGATCAAAACTCACAACAGTGTTAAACTTTTACACCTACTATTGTGTCTCTCTGCATCACCCTAAGGTTGACTGTTAGAGAATGCCACTAGGCGTTAAGTCCACCATTGTATTCAAGAAGTGTAAATAAAATAAATGCTCAATTTTACTTCACGTATTGAAGAAAAAACTACGTTACACGTAAAAATATTCCTGTATATCGTTTCCTGCACAAAATCCTTCAATTATGTTGTTTGTAGACACAAATTATGTGTCTGTAACAGAGGTGAAGTAGTAGACTACTAGATGCCTCACCCAGGCGAGAGCAGTCATTTGATGATTTTCCCCCTTAAAAAAAAGATTACTAGAAAAACGTTTTCGCGTCCACCCTATATTCCAAGGTATTTTCAATCCAAATTCACAAGCACGCAGTAGAAGGCAGTAGTTCTCCACCGAAGATATTCATGATGCAATTAAATTATGCACGGTACTGAGGGCAACTTCGGATTGGTTTGATCAAATGTGGGCTACCTATGTTTGCATTTCATTGGCAAATGGAATTGGTACTTGCCCGCGCTGTTTGCCAATTTCCACCTCGATGTCTGATATAATTTCGATAATTATTTTAGAGTAAGTTCAGCTCCTTCCCGTGTTAGTTTATTTCAAGTTACCTACTGCTCTCTACCTCTAAATGCAGTTAATGTTGTTAATTTATGCAACTATTTTTGGTTTGAGGGCGTTACTTTGTTGCATTTACTATTGAGGATATGTTGAGTAGAAAGAAGTAATTCCTTTGGTGTTGCGAGTGTCAATGGGCGATGCTAATCGCTTACCATCAGGTGATCCATCAGCTCGTTTACTTCATGGTCCATAAAAAAATTAACAACCACGTGATCTATGTGCTATATTTTATGTACATACATAACTTCATGCTTGTCTCCCATAGGGTAGGCAGAGACTTTGGAAAGGCAATTGCTACGATTCCTACATACTTCTTTCACTTAATCAACAATTATTAATCTTTTCATGCATGCTCGTCGGTTAAGAGTATTTTATATAAGTACATAAAATGATAAGTATAATAAATCTACAATGGATAAATCACGTGTACTAATGAAATATTTCGACTATTTCCTTGAAATTTTTAATTAAGTTTGAACGTCGACATGACACTCTGTTGCTCCAAAGTCCAAATCCATCCATACTTGGATATATAAAAGTAATTAATTGAATTTAATAGATTTGTGTTTCAAGTGTGTGTAATTGCAATTAAACGGACGATTAAATCACTGAATAAATAAATAACATTTAGTATCTACCTTTAATTTATTGGGTTTCATGACAATTCGAGTATTCAATTGAAAACTTAATTTTGCTATTAACTAAATATTATGGATTTTATTAGAAGCCAAACTTCTAGGTACGATAGGTTCAATATCCGTCTAAGTATACGAACATAAAGCATCTAAATTGTTGGCTTATTTAATTTTTTTCCACATAACATAACATCACGCTTTTTATCTCCGAAGGGGTAGTCAGAGGTGTACACAGAAGTAACAGCCACTTTTCACTATTTATGTTATGAGTCCCATGTAATAGGGGTGAGCCTATTGCCATATACCGGGCACGATTCTAGACTCTGTGCTACTACTGAGATTTTATTTAAACTCAGTAATACTTTGTCCGACCCGGGAATGGAACCCGAGACCCCTTGCCCGGCAATCGCACTTGGGACCACTCGGCCAACGAGGCAGCCTTTTTTCCATACTCCATTAAAGTCTGAAGCCTTAAAAGATTTTTCTCTGAACCCACTTAGGTGTCCCTTACCAAAATCTCCTATTTTATAAACAAAATCAAGGCTCGAAATAAATAATTGAATATGAATTAATGATATAGATACGTCAGAATATGGCCGAAATAGAATTAGGTTCATTTGTTGGAGTCCCGCTCGCCGTCTGTGGCGCGTACTGAATATTTGAAAATGGTTGAAAACAGCCCCTGCTACAATGAGGTACGAAGCTATTATGTCTGTTATCACAACACAATAGAATTCTAATTGCTTTACAACTTAGTAAGAAAAGAATGGTGCTTAAGAAAATCATGGCATCCAGATTGCGAAAGAATATTTTGTCTAGATTTCGATTTAAAATATTCAAACTTAATTAATCACTTACCTAAGTGAATTGACTAGATTAGCGTGGAGTATCGTGAAATGTATGGATGGATGTTTCCTGTAGTTTTACGTAACGACTGTAAAATTTATTCTGTTATTCATAGTAAAAGTTATTCTTAAGTCTAAAAATGTTATGCGATATTTTTTTATCAAAAGGTAGCCCCATAACGGGTTAGCGGGGCTCCGGCTCGAAGCCCAGGAGAAGGAATGGGGTGGTATTTAGTCAGTAAGAGTCTGACATTCCCTCCCGCCTCACACAGACGGGAGCAGTCATTCGATGATTTTCCCCCCTTAAAAAAAACTCTAGAACTTTCTTCTGTGTCGTGGGAGCGTTAACAAATACACAATTTCACATACACATTATACCCAGACCCGGAACAAAAATCTATGGATCACATAAAGAGTTGCTTTGTGCGGAAATCGAACCCGCGACACGTTGCTCGGCAACCGGTCGGCCCGGCCACCGAACCAACTGTGCAGTCAAATGTGACATAGTGCGATGCGATCACACTAATTGTCCATGGCCCCGAAACGCTGCGACTTACAAATTTATTTTAGGAACAAAACAACAAAACGCTAACAACTATTTTGCAATACATATCACACTTTATTATTACAGTTTAAATAACAATAGGATAAGTTTCATTAAAGTCGAAAGTAAGTAAAGTTGAAGGTGCATTACAAAATCACACAGGTGTATCTGTATATTATATCAGTTGTAGTTGTCAAAACAAACCTATATCGATTTCATTCCCTTTGTGCTTTCTTCATTTTCTTTTCATAATGTTTTATTTCTATAATCAATATTATAGCACAAACCACCCACATGAAAATCAAACCGTAGAACAAGGTGTTTATCTTCGAAAAATCTATACCAATAGGAATCATTTCATCATGAATGTCTGTCCTATCCAAAATCCATTTGTGGTTATTTCCATCGCTCAAAATTTTGTCTATAACTCCAGCTTCGACGAGGCTGAATATTACATCATCTACGTCCTTGGCTGCTGGCCACCCAGGGCGCATGTAGAAACTAGCACCAGTAGCACTGATACGTTTCTCAAGTATTTGAACGTAAGGTGCTAGAAGATTAACCAAAGCAATATCCGTTGCTAGAAGGAAATTCTCTCCTTCAAAGATACGACGAATGTACTTTCTCAATTCATTCATTGGTATCACTTTATAATTGTGTTCCAATGGAGTGTCCTTGTAATATTCCACCACTACTTCCACGCCACCGTAACCGTCCACTTTAGTGACTGCATCTTCAATAGATTCAAATGGTGGTTCTAAATCTGGAGTCTGTAAGGCATTCACAAGATCTGCTTGATAGTCGATTCTGAAGAAGAAGCAGAACCAAATCCAAAGCACGAAAAGGGTATTGAGGAGGAAAGACTTCGTGACAAATTTTACTGACTGGCCCAATATTATGATAAACGATTGGTATAGTATGCGGTTAGTTGCTCTGGTCAAATGTGGTTTACATTTTATCACTAGACTAGCAGAAATAAGAAATGAAATGTATACCAGACCGTGTAGATAAGTAAAGTTGGTTTGGTCAGGAACAATAAATTTTAGCCAATCATATACTTCACGTTGCCTACGGCCCACCCAACGAATGTCCACTGTGTGGTAAGTATGAGATGGTAGAGTCACGGTATATCTTTTCTCAGTAAGAATGTCAGCTGGAATAAGTATATCAGCTTTTTCAGTAGCCAAGTCTCCAATAGAACCAGTTGCCGTCCCATTGACGTACGTTCCAAAAATGCTATTGTTATAAGCGGATGTAACTTCTAATGAAGCATTCAATTTAGTCAGTATAATCATAAGTATTTTTCCATCATAGCCACCGACTGATCTGATCCTGCCGTCTTCTGCTTGTACAGTAACGTAAGGAAAATATTCTAAGAGGGCCGTTCTTATAGGACATTGATAGAAATTGCTGAATTTCTTAGGAAACATGTCTTGACCGTACTTCATAAACACTGGCGTGTAATTACCGCATAGACCTTCACTGTAGGGAAAAAACGTCGATAATTTTACTTCACCAGTATCCATTTCACTGACTACAATTAAGTCTGCCTGGTCGTTCATCGACGTTACTTCTATATAATCATACAGCTCTTGATTTGACGTCACAATATTTTCCAAGACAAGAATAAAACGAATGGGGAATCTTATAACTTCATTGATGAGCTTCATTATAATTTCGTATTCGTTCAAATCATTTGCGAAATAGATTGTTTGTTTGAATCCAACTGTTTCATTGATGTCACGGACTCTGCTATCGTTGTACGTGGCCCAAGGACTGAGGACCACAGAGCCAGGGTAACTCATTAAGAATCCATTGACACAATTTGATGAATTTTGTTTCCAAATGACTGTTGTAGTGAAGTGACGATTGTAGTATGTACTTGAAATATTCACAGCTGTTTTAATAAGGTTTGATGTTGCGGTGCAGTTAGGAAAGTCATCATTAAAGGTAAAGTTCGATAATGTAGAATGCACAAGAGTGAACAATAATATTAAAACGTGTTTCATGTTTAAAGATGGTGTGGTTACACTGGCGACAACCGACTAAGAACTAACGTTGTTATACTACTTTTATTCACTGACCAAAGTATTTTATAGCAAGCCATGTATCATGTTGGCTAAATCATATAATTGGGACTGTCATCGTGTTGTTATAACTAGCAATGGTGTTACTTAAGTTTTATCTACAATAAAATTAATTTTATTTGTATAATACGTATAAGACATACCCGAACAACCGGTGTTTATATTGTTTGTGAGTAAACAAATATGTAATTTTCTGAAGTGTATTTGCCTCTTAATAAAAAGTCCACTATAATTTCAAAGTGATTTATTGTAGAAACAAAAATTATACAATGTGTATACAAATACATATAAAAATGCAAATGTCTGTGTAGTGTATGTTTACAGACGAATCTAAAAATATTGCTAATTCTTTTGTTTCTTAATTTGAAGGAAAATGCGTATATATAAAATCTTTATTTGCAACATTCGTATATATTCTTTGTGATCTCATTTAGGCAGTAATCAGCTTTAAATACTTAACAATAAGGTACATAATAATTATCAGGTAAACAATATCAGTTTTTAACAAAGTTTGAGGGGACTAGTTCATTTACCCATAGCGGTCGATATGATAAATAGGTACGAGTAATATCAAAAATAGTAAAATTGATCTCCAGTTTATTTCGTCATTTTAAAGGCACTATTTAATTCTGTTTGCAACATTAACTAGTAACACAAATTATCCAATCGGACGAAGCCATCTCAAAAACCACATGCAGATCTTAGAACCTTAACTACAGAAGCTTTTAGCTGTTACAACAACGACATATAGTGAGTTATATATTCGTTAAATAGTTTTATCGTTACGTATGTACTTAATTATTAAAATTCTATCGAGGTACATTATATAACATTAAATCCTATTAATAATTTACTTAATTAATCAGTATGGGTCAATATTTCATTGTGTTTTATATTTTGTACGCAAATAGTTTCTTTTGTTGTTAAGCGTCAAGTTATATAGATTTAATATTGATCCACGGCTTAATGTATAAAGTAGAAGTTATCAAATCAAACATGGCCACGTTTATTGGTATTTTTTTTTAAATACTGTACGAATGTAATATCATTATGGTTCGTTCACAAAATCCTACTTACAATTTGGGATTTGTATCTTACAAAATTTTGTGCCTGATAATATCAGTTCTTAATATAATAATTCGAAAGATTATAGACACAAGGTTGAGATTTCAAGTTATTTGTGGCCATGGCATATGAAGTAAGGGTTTAGCCTCCACGCTGTGTGAGGACGGCGTCCAACAGGAGGAGGGCACCATTGATGATGGCGAGGGAAGCCTTTGCCAAGTTCTTGTCCCTCCATTCTGATTTTGACGCGTTCTGGTATCTGGAACATAAATTATCAGTAAGTGACAAATATATATGCAAAGGTACGTTAAGTAGGTAGTTAGATAAACAAAAACTTTGTTCTAATCAATTTCTCTTAGGGTCATAACTTGCTTTTTTAGAATAGAGATAGGTGCATTTAAATACATCGTTCATTTTATATTTGATTTATCTTCTGAGAACCCTATGATAATGTGTTTACTTAAGAACGTTTGGCGTAAGAATAATCGTTCCTCCATCAACCTCGTTAACGGATTGACCCCAATACCATGGGATGAGCTATTTTAGTCCATTCTGTATAAGCTAAGGAAACGAAAAAGACGTTGATGTTTTCAGTTTTATGGACGTGTTGTTCCGCTAAATGTATCGCTAAGATTAACTGTATGTTGTGTTTATCGATTATCGAAGTTTTTATATCTCAAGCTCTATGCAGCTTGAGATTATTGTCATATAGGTAACGTTCATTCATATATTGTAAGAGAATTATTTTAATCTGTTTATATCTAATTTTTGGTAATAGGGTGTCTCTCCATTATTATAAAACAAAACATACAGAGGGTTTAGTGTGAGCTTGTCTTACGATTAACGAGACCGCGTCCAGCGCTCTGATTGGCCGGCTCCAATGAATCAACCAATCAGAACACCGAACGTGGTCTCGTTTCGATATCTTTAAACGTAAAACAAAATTGTACAAAACTCTCAGAAGAATGTAGTAGATAAACATACGTATAGCGCCTATAATCCTTCGCGGAATAAAATGACATAATGTAATGTTAAGTTAAACTTACTTGTCAATAATAAGGGCTCCGCTTGCGACGAACAAGGCAACTCCGATCAACGAGTAGAAAATGTCAACGCGTTTGTGCGAGGGTGTCTGCATGACATAACCTGTAAAATGACGTCATTGTTTGTTAGCACTCGCTACTTTGAATATTAAGTAGCTGATAAACTACGTAGGTGCAATACTTATAAATGGAATGGTAATTGGTGGCAGGTGTGCCAATGGGTTTACATTGACAGACAATATTTATTTCAGAAGTGACGCTTTTGCTTATCTTACCAAAAATATTTTATACGGCGACATACGAATAAACAGATCGTATGATTGTAAGCAATCGGTGCCACCCATAGTCACCAGACAACACCAGAGGAACTACAAGTGCGTTGCCGGCTTTTAGGGAGTTAGATTTGACATAACATATTAACAAGCCATTTATCCCCGAAGAGGTAGGCAGAGGTGTACATTACAGCACTTATTGCTACTGTACAATGTAACACCCACTTTTCACTAAATATGTTGAGTCCCATGTAATAGGGGATAGATTTTCCAGACTCCGTGCTACTACTGAGAATTATTTAAAAAAAACTACGTAATATATTGCCGTAATATATTGAGCAGTTACATTTGACGATTAGAAATGTAGGGTTATTAATACTGACCGGCAGCAGCTCCGGCAAATATGATAAGGTATCCCACGAAGGTACCGGTGACCAGCATACCGGTCTGAGCATCACCATCGTAGCTGTGGTAGTGGAGGGCGACACACGAACATGTGAGCACCTGGAATAGAGAAGATAATATTTGTAAGTCACTGGCCAGAGTACAAATTTCTATCCATCCAAAACTTATTCAGTTGCTTCACGTGATAACATTCTGATAGACATTCACTGCAAAAAATAAACTATACCCTTCCTTCAGTCTACTAAAAAGTCAGGTTGTCGATACATCAATAAAACTACTGCTTAATATAATCGTTTGCTAAATACTTAATGGAACGAGAACCCATTTGGTATTTAGAGTGGTGAAAACTGCACAAAGTAGGTATATAAAATCTATATATATAAAAAGGAAATTCCATTCGTTAGTATTTTTTTAAGGGCAAGCCCGCCACATCCTCCCAAAACCGCTGCAACTCCAGGATCTACAGTAGACACAACCATGACAACACTGGAACACTGAAGTCCGGACAGCCGTCCAGAGTCCAGACAATAAGACTTGAGAACAGCTGAACCGATTTGGCTAATTTTGGTCTTGAAACGGTCGTGGAAGCCTAGGGAAGGTTTAAAAGGTGAGCAAAAAAAATTTTTGGCGGTACGAAGTTTGCCGGGTCGTATATAAAAACTAAAACCCAATAGAACTTTTTGTGTACACAAAAAATAATCTGCATTCATTATGAATCGTAAGACCACGTTACCAAAATGGCCCAATGTTATACTCATAGTAGGTAATGACGTCATAGTTCCTCAAGCGTATTATGACGAGCCACAGATAATATACCAACCAGTTCTGGAGGGATGATGTCATACTAAACACGCCACATAAAGCCGAGGCCAACTGCTAGGAGCCTTGACGTCTTGACTTTGAAGATGCGAACATCCAAAGAGGTCGAATGCGCTTTCATTGAAATTCGTGCGTTTTGTGCATTGCTAATTAAAAAAAATTAGGAAAAATCACAATACTACTGTGATTGTTTCATGTAGGTATTATAGTTTTTAAAGTAAATAATTTAGATACTCGATACTGGATAGACTCGAAGCTTTGAAATTCATCGTTAACAAAATTAAATATGTCTTTATTGATTATTATGACGAGAAATCGATCATTATTTTGTTGTGTACTTAAAGGTATTACTACTATGTTTTGATTTTCTGTAATCCTTGAATACCATCAACAACAGATACATATCTGTATAGCTAAAGTTTTCTAGGAAAACGATGCATGCTTTCAATAAAAGCTAATTTTACATACTCGGACGATATACCTATAAACGGTCTTCTGGTTACGTATATTAGGTATATAATAGATAAATACATAACGTGTGCACATATTATATATGATTTTACTACAATTTTATATTGAGTTTTATTTAGATGCCAAACGATAAGTTAACCTAACGAAGAATATTAATTCAACACACGTAAGAATCGTTATAAAACGTGGCGTCCAATTGTTATATCATTTATTAATTTTAATATAGCTGCGCATTTCCGTACAATAGGAAGTGTGTACCTACATTAAATATTAATATATCTACATAGTAATCCTCATATGAATAATTTGTTCATTAATGAAATGTCGTAATGTTCGAATACATTCATTTATTCTAAATATTATTTTGTTCATTTTCATTATTTTTACCCACTGTCCCCTTTACTTTTTTCTGCTGAATAAAATGATCGATTTGATCGGATATTTTCATTTGACTTTTTCGAAACTCAGGAATTGTACTCGGTATATGCTTGCGATAGTCATAGGGTTATTAGTATTTGCACATATGACTTAACACCGCTACTTTTAAATAAAAACTAAGTCTTTAAAGTATTAACTAATTTTGATTAAAAACACATGTTTTATAGATATATTGCAGTAATAGATATTCATATATTGTTGTCAATTTGTCTAAAATAGCACAAGGCTTGTACTTAATCGATGTTTAGGTAAGAACGGGTGCACTTAGGAAGTGCGCCTACTTAGATAAGTTGGGTGATTATGATTACATATCGTTTACTATCTTATCAAAAATATCAATGAAAATGTAATAGCTTTTGCAAATAGTGTCAAATATTAGTTACCCGATTATTCTTATTATTACCTATGTACTCAACTTGCACTAAAGGCATTGTTTGTACAACAGTTTCTAGTCTTTTAATTTTCTTTATTTGATTCCCGATTTTATATCAATGCAATAAAGTTTCAAATGTTATGAAGAAATTTGACAAAAAACCATAAGGTGGCTTGCTGATGACCGTACATCTTTAGATGGGTAAGTTTACTACTAAACCCACTGTACCCTTAGCAGAAAGCTCGGGTATTACAATTAGATCTCAAAGTTTAGTGGATGCTGACCAATTCCTTAGACTGCTAATAGTATTTTTTGCACAGAAGTATCCGAATTTATCAATGTAGTATTATCAATATCATCTATTACAAAATAGACTTAGTAGGTCAAAGATATATATTTAATAATCATGCGCACAGTAGATCAAAAATTGAATCACCTTGAAAATCTCAGTGGGTAAGTTAATTTGTAAACATATATTTATCAAGGAAGAGGTCGAGGTTACGATCGCACTGACTCATTCAGTGTTTTCGCAAAGTTACTCATGTTGAATGTTAAATATTTTTTGTTATTATGATCTACTTCGTGTTGAGGATAAAGTGTTACTTAATTGGCTAACTACAACTTTACTCAATCATACTTCCAAGAATGTATGTCTGGGCATGTAATTGTCTAAACGTAATCCCTGAGGAATCTATTTTATTGTATTTATACACAAATGCGTGAAAATTTAGTAGGTAGAATAATTACTAAAAACAAACCTCAATTTCCTTTCAAACAATAATTTAGTTTTTTTATGGGATAAGCCGGTAAAAGGGCGGACGGAACACCTGATGGTAAGCAATCGGCGTCGCCCATGGACACCTGGCATACCAGAGGCGTTTCAAGTGAAGTACCGGCCTTTCGGGACCGAAGCATTTGAAGATTGGGAGGGATTCGGGGATTGGGAAGACTGGGCAGGGTAGGGGAGTAGTTGGGCCTCCGGTTACCTCACTCACACGAAAAAACACAACGCAAGCGTTGTTTCACGTCGGATTCCTGCGAGGCTGTGGTACCTATCTCTCGATACGTACCTACATCAGTCAATTCAAAACAACATTTATGAAAATAAATTAACGATTGTGTCATAATGATTTTTAAATGTCCCTATAGTTTAATTAGTTATCATTGAACAGCCATTAAAATGGGGTTAATGGGCACGGCTAAGTGTTAAAAGGTATTCGACCTTATTGAACTACATTAAGGGCCCACCTAGGTGCGCCCCGACATACGACAGAGTTATAAATAACTGCCCATGTACCTTGAGTACGTAGGTGCTATGTATTTATTTATATACGAACGTACTTCCACAGTTTTACTACATATTTCATGTTTATATTAACTTTGTACTTGTAGTACTAAAATAACCTGGTATAGTATCAGATCATACATCATTAGGGGCAGGTTTAGAAACACTTATTATAGGTCGTGTTTTCATATATTTTCCAGTAATAAGGAATGGTCAATATGATCACAGATTCTTCTTTGATACTTTTAGATAAAAATAGTCTATTATAAATAGGTACTGACTGGACTACTGCTGCACTTTTAGAAATCAAAAATATAATAATACTTAGTCTAATTAATTAATTGGATGACGTATTTTCTTGTAACCACGCGATCAGCGAGAAATTAGCGCACTTACGAAACTTCCACATATAAGCATCCGTATCTAGGTATTTTAGTTTTCATTTAGCAAAAACCTGGACTTAAACAAAACTAACCTAACTTGTCCTCGTGAATCTAAAAACCGTATGTATAAACAGTTCTATTTACCGCAATACTGTTAGTAGTGAAAGCGAATGTTTTTCATTCATAGTACTACAAACCGCGTGCTACGAATTAATCGAATTACGTATACTTACATTATGGAAGTGAAACTGTGCCGTGTTTCTCATAAGTACCTAACTGCAGTTCAACGATTAGAAACATTCCATAGTACTTACTAACAAATAGTCCTATTGTTTGTTTGTAATTTATTGCTCATGGCTTCAATATCTATTGGGTTAGGTACATTGCTATTGTTTTGATTTGAGTCATAACCGCTGCAACCGCAATGCTGAGATAGTGAATTAAAAACCTGTTGTAATCAATCTACATATTGTCTGAAAACATAATTCGGTGTTCCAGATGTTTATGGCGACGCCGATTGCAGCAGGTGATCCGACTGCTAATTTACCGGCTTATCCCATAAAAAAAATTAACCACTTTTCACTTCATTACATTTCAAATCATTTCGTTTCAGTAGGCATCTTACCTTTTCTGTTCCATATATTTAGTAAAAATATTCACAATTTGCAAGACAAATTCTTCGAAGCGGACACTACTGAATTTTAGTCGATTGATAGCATTAATTCGTTTCTGGTTAATTATAAGATCATTTTACGAAGTAATCTACTTCGTACGCGAAGTGATTATAAAGTGTGAAAGTGCTTAATGATATGATCCCAATTAAACAATTATAATAAGTGAATCTTTCTATTGAACACATTCCTATGATACTGATAGTCAATAGTCATACATTGATTCAGTCAATTAGCCTTTATTACGTTCATTTTGCATTCATTAGCGGAAACTGAAGTTAGAGTGATTAAGTGCAGGACGATGAACTTTGTATGAAGTCATAACATCATCGTCATGCCTTGTGTTCTCCGAAGGGATAATTCAAAGTGCGTATCTAACGTAATGTAACGTAATAAATAAACTTCTTGGATAAATCCAAGAAATCAATCAAATTATATAAAAAAATAAAATAAAATAAAAATTATGTGTAGTGTTAACGTTATACCGTTGTAAAAAATGTAACAGATATCTTAGTAGTTTTAAGTACAACTCAATACTCAAATATTGAAAGTTTATTATAAAACAGATCTAATAAGAAAACAGGGTAATGCTCGTCAAACTTCTCACCCGGATGGACGTTACAACTCTTTTCGCGGGAAACTTTACTAATCTGTCACATTTGACAGATGACATCGTCGACATGACAGCTAGTGCTGTCGATAACCCAGATTAAACTAATGACGTTCATTTTGTTGATTTTCATAGTATAGTAGTAGGTGCAGAACATTTTATTCCTTGTTTGCATCCTTACGTAATGTTTACTTAACAACTAGATTGTGTGACTCTATCCACGAAATTGGCGTCAATTTAAGCGTCCCACTTTGTGACTAATCAGGATTATCTCTAAGTCACAATCATGGCACTGCATCATGTGATCCTACGTCATCAACTAACACGATACATCCGTGACCTCTACGATTAACTAAGATAAACACAATTACTCCAATTCCTAAGAATAACAGAACATAGATCATATCAACGGGAAAATTGTTATACTATCATAAATCACGTATTACCTCAACTTTCCCACGAAAGCCTAATTCATCCGAAATACAGTGCAGATAAGATTTATTTTTGATTGTCTTATAATCAGTATTAGTATTTTAAGCTTGTTGGATAAAGAATTTGTAGTATACGAGTTTAAAATATAGAGTTGAAAGTAAACAGTCGGACTGGTAACCCACAGGTGGTTGAAGGCAAATATTTTTCATGTATTTTATGAGACGTTCGTATAAACAGAGTATGTTAATTCCCCACTTGTTGCTTGTAGATGTACGTAGTCAGTCAACAGTTGATGCGATTTCACTGGCAAAACGTGGTCTTGGTTTCCCTTTACGGCTAGTTACTCTTATGGTTGGATATTGACACGCCTTTACTTTTACCGCCGTGTGTCAATAAATTAACTTTCTATTTAGAACCTTATCATATCATTCATAAACAATAATATGGAGGTGTTCTTACAATACACCCAGTATTGTGAGACACCTCCCTTCACCAGTTATAGTACCTATTCTTAAAATTATTCATGTCTATAATGGTCTATAAAATTATAATCGTGATTGAATTTGATAGGCTCAAGAATTTGATAATTTCAATGGCCGTGGGCGTGTCGTTGCTCACATACCGGATGGCCAAATTTTCTTCAATGGCCACCACGCACCGGATGACACTGCGTAGGTCGTGCTACACATTAACACTTAAGCAAAACTCGTGGGAATCGTTTGGTCATGAACAATGCATACCTTGTAATTATAAGACAAGATACTATAAACGATACTAGCGCCCTCTTTGTTGTCAAAAATGGTTGTAATGAAACAAATTTTGATATGTTTATGTGAACAGCATATGCTGTTTTATATGTATTCGTTCTGATAAAGTAATTATATCATTTCGATATGCATTTAAAAATAAATGATAAAAACAACATGTACATATTTATTTACCTAATGACGTTATAGTGCAGTAATGGTATTTATTACATTAACATACGCTTGTTATCTACGCTCCAGTTTTCTATTTTATCAATTTTTTGTATTCCCATTTACTATTATTTACTACTCATAACAAATCCGTGTAATGATTCCAACAATGAGAGGCACGGCTATTTTAGAGGCGTACAATTTTAATGGACTGCCACGGAAGATGAAATAATGTTTCCGGTGCGTACTGTGTGTGAAGGACAATGCTGTTTGATTTTTTTTTACTTAAGTAGCAGCTTATGTCACTGAATGTACATACCTACTTAATGTATAACAGGAGGCAGGGCTGAATAGGTATAGTATCTTATAGTAGGATAAATATTTCGATAAAGTCATTCTAAAGTCACTATTACTCTAAAACAGCATGCTATAAGGCGTTCTATTGACCATGCTTAAAAATCTATAAAAATCGAACGCCTGTCGATTCATCAAACATGCTCAATTAAAGCATGCTTTAGTGCTTGTAATTAGTATGTATATCAGTATTATCTGGGGTAAGAAGGGAACTTAATCTACATAACTGCACTATTCTTCCCGAAGAACCTATCAAGAAATGCATGAGATAACATTAAAGACCCACTTAAAGAAGTTAGAGTACGTAACCATAATATAAATGTGTGTACATGTACCTATTTAATTTCGTGATGACTTCTTCATTCCTATTAATAAAGGGATACATTGAAGTGTCGATAAGGTCTACGATAATATTAGGGTCACCCCCATATCGGTTGATCAAATGGTAGCGAACCATGACCCTTTTTCGGTATGTCCGCGCACACGACGGTTTTGTGTTTACACAGCTAACAAATTATTACGTATGTGTGTGTAATTATTCGATTTTTATACCTCTATAAACAATATGACAAAACTTTCCATACTCAAATAAATAATTAATACTTTATAGTAACGTGCAACCACTCAATAAAAGAAGGACTTCCACGAAATTGTATTAGATTAATAGTATGTTCGAATTCATCAATTATGTCACGTACTTCGTAGATACATAACTCAAGATAAATATGAGTTCACGGTTATTTTTATCTGTTTGTTTATATGATTGGGTTAGCCTTTATAGTTACGATGTTGAAGGATCGTATTAATCGATGCTGTAACAGTTATATTTTAAATCTAACTACAACTATTTATTTACTCTTTAATTGGTTGATTGGCCGGAAATGAGATACCGGTATAAGCGGTATCGGTTTCATTTCTTGGATCAGTCAAAGTATTAATGAGAATTTCGATAAAGTATTATTTATATTGATACCACGAAACCCGAAATTACGATACGACAACAAAACAAGATTAAAATATTATTTTTTTAAACTCCATCTTTGCTTATCCCTTCGTAAAATATCCGGCTTATTATAGATGATACGAAGTACGATTGTGAAGTTGTTAACTCATGAAGTCATAAAGGACAGCCTTCAAGTGAGGATTAGTGGTGAATCAATTTAGTCTCAGTCAATTGTAAAAGTGGTCAACAAAAGAGTTGATACGCTTAGGTCAGGCAGCTAAGAATAGTTTGAGGACAATGATGTAACACATTCTGATAAGTAAATTTAAAGCTATTGACTCAAATTGCTCATATTACCTTTGTCACCTTATGAGGAAAGCCACGAAAATATTAGAAGGTTTTACCTACTTGTACATACATACAAATGAATCATAATTATGTAACGGCTTAGTTTCTTCTGTTTGTGAAGTCATTCGACTAATTTCAAGCCACGCTTGGGGCTCATAGTTAGTTTAGTTACCTACTAAAATAGTTACGTGATTAAGCCTTTAAATATGTCACAAGATTTATATTACAAAAATACATGAACTCATGGAGGTATCTACAAACTTATTTTACTCTCCAATGAAGTAGGCCGAGATGAATAAATTTAATAAATGTCAATTACATCATTGGCATGCAATAGGGATGATGACAAGGTATGAAAATTAAAAAAAATAATTAGTCCGTCAGTTAGGTAATGAAAAAATATTAGATACGTATTTTTTTATTTTGTCGTATAAGAAAACAATACTTAGATAAAACAAATCAAAGTTTAGGAGTGGGAGGTAGCGACGTCATTATGGATTAAGTATAAATCGTACGATATTTCAAATCAATATATCTTCAAAACTATTACGTTTATACGTTTCTGTAAGAAAATAAAAAATACGTGTGTAATGTTTTTAAATAATCTACCAGACGGACATTGAAATAAAAATTAGTCATCTACCCTATTATATTACTCATTGTAATAAAAATACCAGTTAATAGACGGTCATAATTTCTGTAATCAAAACTAAAGTATGAAAATTAAACAACTGTAGTCAGACATAACAAATTATTATTTTCTCTGTATTTTAGAATTGTTATTTATAGTGAGTCATATGCATACAAATATTTCAGTGTAATTGGTTTCAACAACATTATCTACATAAATAGGTACTTGATAATTGATGGGCATTTGCAATTCAAATTTGATCATTTTGCACTCTCTGCTAATAATACCTAAATCGTCTGATCAAATGTCAGCCAGGTTACCAAAATCATCAACTTTGGTAGTGCAGATCGCTACACAAATGCATAAAGCCATGAAGAGATCGGTAACCCATTTAATGTCGAAGAAAAACAATGGGAATTTTAAATAAAGGACCCTTGTTTCGACCAATGGAAGCCAAGCATAATAACTTAAACATATCAGCTCCAATTAAACTCGTTCCATTTCTGTAATGGTAATAAATCCCATAACCCTTTGCCGTCCCTTTCTAACCTATGGGAAATGAATGAGAGGAGTCAACGCCCTTTGTGTCTTGACTTGGTACTCTCGTGCTACTGTTTGTGTTAGAGTTTATTTACAACATAAAACATTTTATTTCCTTTGAGAACTATTTTCGTATTGGAAGCTACAGTTTCTGAGATTTTCAGGGAAATTGGGTGAACAAAACATTCTTGCATTTGTAATCAAATATTTATAAACTTTGTTTCATTAATTTTGTTTTAAATGTTTATCTTCATTGTTATGCTGATGAATATAATGATACGTTAACCTTTTACATCGTGAATTGGTTGCAAATATACTTTTAAATGTTAAAACACTTTCGTCAAGGTAACAGGAGACGCTTACGAATTCGCTTTATAAACAAAAACAAGATCGTTTTCGAGCCCGCGCACCGGCGACCCCATAAGCCCACATTGCGCAGATGTTGCTAAAAATTAAGTTATTACAATAAAAATGAGTAAAAATATATAATTACCAGCTCCAAAAACTTGATCAGGGACAATCTGCTGATGGCCATTGTGAATCACTTGGGATTTTTTTTTTAATACCGCGATGTTTATTTGAAGTAACACACTAGCACGAGCGCGCCAACTCAAGTCGCCACTGAGACTGCGCTGTGAGCCGCGTCGAGTAGAAACGATGAGCTCATACTGCTGTGGCCATCGAGTTTATCAACGTAGGACAGTAATAAACGGACCAATAAAAATCTTACCTACCACATGGCCTAACCACGTACGAACGTGGCCAAGGATTGAACCTTGGGGTACGCCTTTGCCACATTTTCTGCTAAATTACTTTGTATTTCCAGATATTCGCGCGATAGTTTTTGGCAAATACAAATACAAGTGAAAGTTCCTTAACTTTCACTGTTTAGTGATTATATGATTTTTTATTTATATTTGCCTATGACGCAATTAACTTTAGTTTGAAATATCAATTTATTAAACTGTCTCTATTAACATTTTTCTGACTATAAAAATGAAGTGACGACAAACAACAATTCTAATTGAGTACAAAAATAGCTTCATAAACTTAAAGTTCATTAATACACGCCAACTTTTTGTAAGACGAGAACAATTGTATAAAATTGAGCTCATGGCCACATTACAATCGTAGTTTTACTCCTTATCCTGTGAAGATGATGTCATCTACTCCTGAATCGATATTGTGTGCGTTTCTGTCAAAATGAGGGATACCGAGTTGTGTACAAAAATAAACGGTATAACGCACTCTTTTGAAAATAACAGGAATAATTACGATAATGTTATCAATGCTCATGTTAATTGTACATGTTTTTGTGTAGGTAAGTGTTGGATAAATTGTTTATTATTTAACTTATTACTTATTCAGTTTAATGTGTCTATCTACGAAATTTATTATTATTTAAGTTTATCTTAATGAGGAAATTAAATGTTAGTTCTTAACTTTACTTCATTGAAAAAAAATTTGTTGAGCCAGGACTATTCTGCAAATACTAACATTTAAAAATTATAGATACCTATGTATATCTCGAATTGAGGTATGATTCTTTGGCCCCCAGCTTGTGGTTATAGCTTTTTACGACCTACCTACCTACCTACTAGAAAAACCAAAATTATCAATTCATTGAAAAATCAACGAAATCAAATAGGTACTTATTGTAAGTAAATATTTTTCATTAAACAAAAATAAAACATATTTTCATGACCATTTAAACAAAAACGTTGAATTATGTACTTATATCAATTATACACTTTCATGTAGGGTTAACACAATCTCGCTTTTTTCTGGAGGAGACAGTTCATCCGATGGTAAGCAATCGGCGCCGCCCATGGATACCCGAAACACCGGAGGTGTTACAAGTGTGTTATTGACCTTTTCGGGAGGTAATTGGACCTTCGATACCCTCACGCATACGACGAAACACAACGCAAATGTTGTTTCACGTCGGTTTTCTGTGACGCCGTTGTATCACTTCAGTCGAGCCGGCCCATTCGTGACGAAGCATGGCTGTCTCACACTTGTTATCTCACTTGTTTACGTTTTAATTTATTGTATTGTAACGTGAACATTTGCTTTGATGACTAATAGAAGCAGTCATTCGCATTGTTAACATTTAACTACCACAAAACACGTAATATTTATAAATAGAGTACCTACAATGAGTACCTACATTTAGTACTGTGATCAAAACATAGTATTTTCACGGTCACAGAATCCAAAATAGTTGCCTACGACATACATGACATCATATAGCGTCGTTCTACGAAATCATTAAGGTATAAAAAACTTTTGTATGTACTATGTTCCGGTTTTATTATGATACCAGTTCCAACCGGTATTAGATAATTCTCTTCATGTGATCAACGATTCCACGAAAATATAGTAGTACCTATTTATTTTCGGTATAAATTGACTCTAAAATTCGTGTTCAGAAGACATTATTACCTACGCACAATAGATTATATATAGAAACATTTCATTTCAATAAGTAAATACTAAATAATTACCTAAGGTGCACTATCACAATAAGTACCTATAAAAAATTACACATGGCGTTTATCGATCGATGATCGTTGTGTATTTAAATATTTCATTTTCAATGTCATGTTTGATAGCAACATTCTCACCGTTTTCAAATTAATTACTGACTGATATGGAAATGCTGTCTGCTTGCATATTCCAGTAGCAAGAACATCGATTCACACCTTTATTTATATCAAGTTCAAAATGAATCGATATTCTTGATAACTATTATTACGATTACCTATCATAAAAGCAATTGTAACAAACTATGTTACTCAACTAATTCAAAGGTTTGAAATTCATTTAGGTATAATAACAATAGGTATATAAAATTGAAAGAAAGATGCACAGCTGCACAAGATTTTAATACTTAGGTATACGTAGGTGTCGTTCAGTGAATCTTATAATCTTATTTCATCTTTACAGGTCTAACCTATTGTAATAGGAATGATGACAGTGTATAAAAATTAAACATCTATTTAGTCCAACATATATATGTTACGGTAAATCTGATTAATTGGAAATTATTAATATTTTTACAAAATTATTAATAATAACCACATGTTTTGGTAAATGTGAATAAACAATCGAAATTTATTACTTTTAGTAGTAATTATTAATAATTCACGACACATATTGGTAAAAGTAATAAAATAAATAAAAACCAATGTTTTTTGACCAACAGGTGTTTATCGCGTCACAAAAGAATAAAAAGTAGCCTATGTGACATATACCAATACACACAGCGCCATCTATACCAATACTTTTGTTTTTCCTCGGGAATATCAATTTTTCCGGGTTAAAAAGTACCCTATTATTTAATCCGGACTTCTAACTTTACGTCTGCAAAAATTCAAAGCAATCGGTTGAGTAGTTACGGCGTGAAGGTGGAACAAACAAACAAACTCACTTTCAGATTTATAATAATTATTATTAATTTATAATTTATAATATTAAGTAAACACAGTCTTACAATTATATTAATTAGAGATCACACAAACAAGGTTACTTGTACTTGCAAACTAAGCAAACAACAAAGCAAGAAAGTCTTTCGTGGTACATAAAATTGTAACAAAAATAAAATTAAACAATTATTGTTTCATTAACAAAATCAACACGAATTCTAAAAGCAATAATTAACAATAATATTTGGTTTGCCTGTAAATCTTCTGTAGCACCTATAAATGCAACAATTTAATTTTTAAAAGTATTGTCATAGAATTGAACAAATATTTGTGGTGTAAGTAAAACAATTAAAGACTCATAAAAAAAAGAAACCAAAAATATTATTTATTTTTGCAAGAAAGACTTTTATGGCACTTAGAATTGCAAATAACGTGCATTTTTTTTGCATTTGCAGCGATTAGAGTTGCATTCGCCAGTACAGTTACAGTGTTGAAAGCCTTGCCCCCCCAAAATATGAGTCCTTGCGGCATACTCGCCCCGCAACCCTTGGCCACTTATTACATTTATCACTACTGGGGTTAAATTATTAATAAAAACCGACAAATGTGATTAATTTATCACTTTAACCTCGACTTTCGGTAATTATTAATAATAATAGATAATTATTAATAATCTTCAATTATTCACTCTTACCGTAACATAATATATATTCAAAAAATACCAAAAAGAAAACGCAACAACTCTGCTTGATCCAGACACCAATCAAGGCACATCGAGATCAGAAATTGCACTGCAGCTACTTCTGAATGAATTTTACACTCATCAGTCTATGAGTATTAATTGAGTATTCATGGTATTAACTGCGTTGACAAATACCTAAATTATTATGAGTAATTCATGAAATGATTTCATTAAATACGAGTACCCATCATTAGTTACGTTTGCATTGAAAACTACTCATTAATTACCTACAAAGTAAATAGTTACTCATTTAGTTTTATCTCGTTTTTATTTTGTACAAGTATTAACGTATTAACCACTGAGTTCTGGGTCAATTTCGAAATTGGAATTTGTGCACAAAATAATTGCATTGAGGTCTCCGTCTCTGTTAAAAAATGGCAGGTGTTCACAAGCTTTTGTATTTATGGACGGTAGGTACTGTTAACTTAGAATTGCAATTTTCCTCCGAAAGAAAGAAAAACCTTTATTCAGCATCAGGCTCGATGCAGCATAAATTAAATATAAAAAAGACAATAAAAGATAGTGTGGCAGTGAAAGTAAATTAAACAGTGGAAAAATAAAATATAAAAGAAGTATCATAAAATAAACACTAACAATCTGGGGTACCATAGGGGTAACTACTTATTACCAACCTATTTAGACATGAGGTTTTCACGTAAATACTATACAATACATAATAATATAATTATATGGTTAATCGGGCTTCAATAAATTACACCGTAATGCATATGTCTATGAATAAATGAATAAATATTACATTTAGTTAGTTAGTGCTTTTAAGTGGTTGTTTTGATAACATCAGTAGATACTTTAGCCATATGCTGGACCCAATATTAGACTTAACAAGTCGGAAAACCAAAAAACCTCGATAAATCAGTCTGGTACGGGATACAAATCCGAAACCCCTTGCTCAGTCTCATTTACAACTTCGCACGAAGTAACGTTTTCGTCTGAACTGAACTTAAAGCTTAATAAATCCACCAAATAATTCTAATTCAGCTAATGAACACGTGAAACCATGTACTCCATATCACAAACAGACCACACAGTTCTAAACACTGCGCCCTTGTACAGATACCTGCACGTCAAGATATTCTTTTCTGCCAATTTCTTTATTAGATATTCAACTTTATTGTCTTGATGATATACAGTTGAGAATCCAATGAAAAAAATTTACAGGATGGAGTAGATTGATCAACTGGCTACAGTGCACAAGTTATAACGACCAGTCTATCGTGGTCTCTATTGGTATGATCTTCCCTCACGTTAAACGGTCAGTTTATACTGGATATGCATAGCTTGATATGTGTACAAGAAGATAGAGATGTTTGCTCAACAATTAACATCAATCCGACTGAACATCTC